TTAAGGGCAAAAGAGTAATTTGGGGGGGCGGTGACTAGTAAAAGGGGGCGATGAATAGCGATTGAGTTTTTTATTCGGCATGGAAATATAACCAAAACACATTGACTTCCCTTAATTTCATATATGGTTTATTGCTGTGAATGACTGACTACCTTCATTGTGTCCCAAACATGCACCTTTTTTTTTTGAAGAAAAAAGAAACATGATAAGACTCGTAAAATAATGAATAGGGTAGCGTTATAGCCGTGTGTTTAATGAATGAGTATTACATCACTTTTATAGAGCCAAAAAGATACAACTGAATAAAATAAAATCGGCAAAAATAATGAAAGATATGGATGAATAAAATATATATTTAAGAAATATTGCATATGATTGGATATATGAAAAAATATGGCTGGGGAAACATGGGATTTCATTATGCGTTTGATTTCTTTATCTTTCGATTCTTTTTTATGTTACATAAATATGTAGTTTTCACTTAACTATAATTTTTAATAATGATATTGGCACAAAAAAGGAATTTTGTTTATTAGGTTTATTTTCTAAGAATTAGGAAATCAATGACGTACAACCCCTTATTTTTTGATTTTTTTATCTTTCCATTCTTTTTTATGTTACATAAATATATAGTTTTCACTTAACTATAATTTTTAATAATGATATTGGCACAAAAAAGGAATTTTGTTTATTAGGTTTATTTTCTAAGAACTAGGAAATCAATGATGTACAACCCATTATTTTTTTTTTCGATCGAAGAAGATAGCATTTTTTCTTTTTTTGATGGATATGATATCTTCCAATCCATAATAGTTCATTGAAAATGAATCCCTTACGGGTAGGAATTAATTTTTCTAGTTGGAAAATTGATGAAAACGATTCCTAGATTTGTATGAATTCTTTATATTGATATTTACCAAAGATATGAATATCTGCCCAGTTTTATGGACAACTATTTTCTTGTAGTTTTTCAATTTGACATTTTTTAAATTGATTATCATAAAGTAAATTCAAAAAAAAAAAAATTCATAAATCTTTTTCAGTTCGACATTAAATTTTGACATACAAATTGCAAACATTAAAAATATACATATTATTTGGCAATGATCATACACTCTCTATTCTCTCTCCTCGAAAGAACAAAAATCCCCAAATCTCCTAGCCCTAGATCCGCGATTGTCCTGTCTTCTCCGGCGGACGCCGGCCGTTTCGACGGTAGCTCACCCATGGCTGCACGGCTCTCTCTCGGTGGTGTCGTTGTTCGTTCACTCAAGCCGATGGGGTGGGGGACGGTCCAAGAGGTTTCGCCATCTTCGGTCGCCTCTTCGGGCTGGTGGTCCGTCAATCTCCTGGATGGCGAAGCTGTGGAGGACGACGGTGTTTCTGATGGGAAGGGTTGTGGCTCCGACGGCCGGATTGTGGGGGCCGGTCGGAGTAGAGGAGATTTGACTCTTCCCCTGTCTTCCTTGGCCTCAGGTGTGCGGGTCGAGGGTGCTGCTGGCGCGACGAGCCCTGTTCAGTGGTGTGGGCAGAGCTCGGGACGAAGATGGTGAGATGGGGTTTGGTTCAGTTTCCTCCGGCTGAGGGTGGGTTCGGCTGCTCGGGGGCAGGGTCGAGTTCTAGTGTCTAACTCCAGTTAGGTGCATAAGTTTCAGTTTCTGGTGTTGGGGTCTGGGGCGAGCTCCGGTCCGTATGGGTGGTCGGCCTTTGGTATTATTGTCGAGATTGCTTGGCGTGTTTCTGCCGTGAGAAGGGTTTTATCTTATTTCTTTGTGTTTGTGTTTTGTGTTTGTGTTTGTGGTGTTCTGTTAATGTTTGTTGTGTTTGTTTGTAAGCTGTGTTTTGTTTTCTTCTCCTTTAGAGGAGTGTATTATTCTCCTGTGGGGAGTTAGGGTCATTCTCCTGTGGGGAGTTAGGGTCATTCTCCTGTGGGGAGTTAGCGTCATTCTCCTGTGGGGAGCCTTTATTTTTCTTATTGTGTTGTAGTGTGTGTTTTGTGGTATCTGGACTGGCCTCCATGAGCAGCTCCTATTCTGGTTTCAACCGGTTGTAATTATGTGTTTATCGTTAATGAATCTATCGTTTCGGAAAAAAAAAAATCGTAAAATAGAAAAAATGAACATTTATAAATGTTGTTTTAAATAATAATGTAGATGAATATATATATATATATATATTAATCTGTTTTTTTAAAGAAATATCAAGTAAGGAAAATGTTTATGTGTTTTCAGTTAATTGTTTTATTTTTTTATTCAAAATTGCTTAAAAAAGAAACCAAGTAGGCTACGAATTATTACAAATTGATATGTACTAAAATATATAAATCCGAAAAAAAATTATAATGTATTCTCATTGTTTTTCAATTTTACATATTTTAAATTGATTAACATAAATAATTCATGAATAACATAAATAATTCAATCAGTTTTTAAAATTTATGGATATAAAAATATAATTTGTAAGGTAAGGAAATAAAATAAAATTTTCTATTAAATACATTCAAATTTCCTTTTAAGACGTAAAATTAGGAAATAGAAACTAGAAAGATCAATTTTCTTTAAATTATAGTAACAACTAGTACGCAGCCCGTGCGATGCACAGGATAATAATTATAAATTGCATGTATTAAAACAGATCTGAATATTGACATTTTTTTTCTTCTAATTTATGATATATAATAAATATTGATTAGTATAAAAACAGATCTGAATATTGATATTTTTTTCTTCTAATTTATGATATATAATAATTTAATATATGATTTATATATTTATTTCACTTGTTATAAAAAAAATTGACATTTTAGAGTTTATGTTTATAAGTAAGGATACTGGACTTTTAACATGTTCAAACATTGTCAACAAATAATACGCACATAATAATTCACTCTCCAGCTTCCTTTACTCGTACCTTATTTCAAATATTATTTAGATTTCTAAATAAGATATGCTAAATTTTAAAAATTGTGGCAATTATTATAAGCAACACTTAATATCAAAAGACTGTAATATATATTAAAGTAATTCTCTTGATTATTCTATCAATCTCTTTCAATGTATACAGATTTATTTTTTTACAATTAACCAAACAAANCTTAAACAAAAACATAAAAATGAAATAAGAATAATAATAGCAACTTTGAGATAAATACTTTAAGTTCAATTAATGATTTACCTTGATTGCTTAAATTAAATTAAATTAAATTATGATTCTTATTGTATAGGACTTAAATTAAATTATGAGTGTTATTGTTCAATATTTATATCGAACATCTGCACAAGTTTGTAAAAAATATACTTGAATGGTAATTAGTATGTAGGAATTCAATATTTAATAGTAAATCTTTCTATTTGACTTAAATGTTTTTAATTTTTCATAATATATATAAAAATATATGTAACTTTTTTTTATACAATATAAATTTTATTCCCATGTAGCTCACACAACACAACACAAAATGGCATTTACATTATACACTGGATTAAAAAGTAAAAACCAAGCATTTAGCATATTAAAACAACATAAGGACTATTTACTCAAAAAAAAAATTTAAAGCTAATACTCATAAAAATTGAAGTATCTAGGAATGAGTAGCACATCAAGTTTGCTATTAAAAATCATCCAACAAACAACACTAAAAAAGAAAAAAAGACCTTAAAAAAAAAGTGAAAAACAAACAACAGAGCAACAAAAAGCCTGGACAATAAGAACACAATATCGAAAACACTCATAACAAAAATAGAGGCTGAAATTGTCGTTTCAATCAGAAATAAGTATAAAGATTCAGCTAAATAACTTAACTAAACATTAATCCTACCAAGGCTTTTAGTTTAGGTCTTAATCATTCTTACTTACATCTGAGCAGTGCCCTCAGTATATTTAGGGTCCTCATATCTGTACTTCCCAGGCCCGATTCTGAATCCCCTTGGGTCGGAAAATACATTCTCTAGCAGCTTATTTCGGGCTGGAACCGGGCTTTTATCGGCAAACTCGACAGAATCTTCAACAATTTCTTCAATCTTGTCCTCGGTGGCCTTCAAATCTGCTTCGTTTTCCAATTTGTTTTCCGTTATGTTTTTCTTTAATGCAGTGATTGGATACCTTGTGGTGTAATGAGCCTTCTCACGAGGTTTAGTCATAACTTTCTTTCTGAAACCCCTAAACAAATTGTTTTCCAATTTGTTTTCCAATTTGAAGGCTCACGAGGTTTTCTGTGAGCCTTCAAATCTGCAGATTGCCAATTTGCTCCACTTTCTTTATGGAAAACAAATTGGAAAACAATTTGCTCCAATTTGGAAAACAAATTGGAAAACAAATTGGAAAACAATTTGCTCCACTTTCTTTATGATCATATCTCCACATTGCCAATTTGTGGACTTCCAGATTTTTACATGAGCGACGTACAAAAGCTACACCATTATTTTTAGTCTAATAACATAAACATTGTAACTTTCTTTCTGAAACTAATTAGTGTCCCCTTAGATGCTACTACAAAGCAATGTACTTCCACAAATACATTTCTCCATAATTGCATTTTGGTAAATACAAACAAATGGCACATGGGCATTTATATTTTTCCTACAAGTATCAGAACACACTTGTACTATCCCAAATAGGATTTCAGTAGTAATTCACTGCTTATATTTGCGTAACCACGAAAATCACCTAACTGTCGATGCTTCACTCGCTAACTGGCAATGTGAAGATATGATCATAATCCACAGGGACAATTACAAAAACCTTTTCACGAGGTTTAGTCATAACTAACAAAATAAACTGAGTGTACGGTGTTTAAAAACTAAAAGGTAAAAAAAGTTGAATCTTTTTATTATTATGTAAATAACCCCAAAGGTGGTTTTTGAAATTATCCATTGTATTGATTTAAGCTAATTCATATAGATGTTTTCGATCTACAAATTGCTTTGTGTTTAGGCATAAATCGACTGAACAGTTTCAGCGCGAAAAAGGCGACTCGAGGGCCTTCGCAGGCCGCGTTGGGACTACTTTGCGTGTGGGTTTGATGGCCGGGTGTACGTGATGGGCGGGCGGTTGAGCTTCACGATTGGAAACTCGCAGTCAGTGGACGTGTACTTCACGACTGCATCAATATAGGTTGCAATCGAAAAATTAAAAAAGAAACAAAAACAACGAAAAGAGCCGATGGAGCATACAAACCTTAGAAGCCATCTTCTTGTTCATCGGAGGCGATTATCGTCACTCCACGTCCACTCACTTGGCCTCTTCAATTTCAAAAATCCACCAGCATTTTCCTATCAAAACACAACATATATTGTTTTAACATGAAAATTATCTCAAACGCACGCCACGAAAAGGACCCAAAAACCATTTTAAACTGTGTTGGAGCTGATGAAATCGTACCTCCTCCAAAATTTTTTGGTCAATGAGCTTTATACCTATCAAAAATGTAGGTTGAGCATAGAAAAAATTAATAGACGCTCATCTGGACATCATGGTTATCCACATCTTGGTCATCGATATATTCTATGTACCTCCATTCAATCTTTTCTCTTGTGTACTCCCGGTCCATCTAGAACACATGCCGAAATATGAATTCAAACAATTTTAGCATGGATTTTTGACATTTACATATTAATGCTCGAAAAAAGAATGAATTGTACCTTATTAAAGTGTTACTGCAACTTTCATTGTAAAATTCAAGAAAAATTGCTCAAAACTAACCACGAAATATAATAAGATAAAACCAATGAAAGATCGTAATAAACAACTACTTGTTCCCATTTTATGGGAGGCTTTTCAGAACGGTAAGGAGATGAAGTGTGTAATAAAGCACATAGGATATATCAACTTAGAATGCTATCAACTTAGAATGCAGATCAACTTTCTCTGTGACAAACAAACAGAAACATCATATGGACAAAGCTAGAGCAAGAATTCTAGCTTACCTAAACTTAGAAGAAGTTCCTCATATAACTCCTTACTGGTTAGAATATCTTCAATTTCTTAAATAATTTGGAGTACCTATTCACTGGTGAAAGGGGTAAAAAAGACAGCATCTCACAGCAACGTCAGATACAACAAAAAACTTATGAAATGTGGTAACAAATATGTCATTTCCACAATCATTCATTTTCTTAACATCAAGAAAGCGCTCTTTAACCCTAAGTTCATGTCAATATAGGAGGCAATTATACTCCACAATAAGGTATGACTGACAATTTCTGATTGCAATTTGCAATTAGAGATGGGAACTATGGATAGCAATAGGACGCGGAACACAGCAAAATAATATTTTGGGAGTACAGAAAAAAAATAATTCAAATTACCTTTGTCTTTCCCCCTGAATGTCAATAACTATCTGACATGTAGTTCGTTCAATAATCATAAAACCCTACCTTTGTTTTTCACACTTCCTATCGTATCCCACCTCATTGCTTTCTCCTTCTTATCATCTTCAAATCTGATTTTCTTCCTTTCATGGTCATCATAAACCCTAGTTCTTTTATTGCTTCTCTTCTCACTCCCCCTTCTTTTTCCTCTGTTTCCTGTCGACGGCTCTCGGTGCACGTCGCGGTGGGTGATGTGAGTTGAGATCTGCGGCGGTATCTATCTTGCTTAGAGCAGTTATTGTGGTCTTTGGGCATTTCTCTATCGCGATGTGAGTTGAGATCTCTTGGATCGAGCTCTCCTTGTATACAGATAGCATAGGGTTTCTATTTATTGAAGGAGTTTCGTATGTGAGGAGATAATTGTGTATCCGAGTTTTTTTTTTTTTCTCAAAACGATAGGAAAGTCTCATTAGATGAAGATAAATGTTCAAGTACAATAGAAGCATGACACTTATGCCGAAGGCTATGCCAGGGAGCACCACCACATGTGGTGGGCTAAATACAATAAACTACTAACAACACTAAAGGCAGTGTATACAAACTGAGCCCTCCAGTGTTAAGGGGTAATAACAGATACTACACAACAACATAATAAGAGAAAAGAAAAACTAGCCACTGAACTAACTAAGTAGACCTAACTAGTCTTTCTTGCCTCCGATGAGCTCTTTTGTTGCCGAAGGTAACTGTCTCTTGCCATTCTGCCCAAGCACCCGCTAAAATACCTCGCTCATGTCTCCAGACTCCTTCAAAGACCCAAAGATTACGCGACTTCCAGAGCCACCACAATATATATGTAGTGAGCTCTATTCTAGCTTCATTCACCTCAGTGTGCTTAACATTGCATATAGTGCCCCACCAATCTTTGAAACTGCACCCTTGCTGTGTTGGAATCTCACTCCATGAAACCTGGGACCTCTGCCAAACCTTCTGAGCTCGAGGACAATTCAGTAGAACATGTTCTACTGTCTCAGCAGCTTCTCCACAACATCTGCACCTGACTTCAACATCAGCTCCTCTGCTTCTTAGATTTGTGTTGACTGGTAGAATGTCATTCAAACATCTCCACAAGAAGTGTTTCAGTTTGCCTTTGACATGTAAATTCCAAGTTCTCAGTCTAACCGCTGCATTTCTTTTGGATGTGCTGCTGCCCTCAGGTAGGTCCAGAGAAAGAACTTTCTTTTGATGAAGGTAGTTATAAGAGGAGGCCACTGAGAAGCTACCCTTCACCCCCATCTTCCAGCTCCATTTATCATCAAGAAGAGGGTCCAGAGTTTGGATTTTGAGAATTTCTCTACAGTCCTCTTCCTCTATCAGCTCTCTCAGTCTGAGTTCATCCCATTGGCCATTATCTCTTTGAATTAGATCTTTGACCCACAGTTTTCCAGTAGCTGGAGGGTTCTTGAGATGGAGACTCCTTCCTTTTATGCCAGGGATCCAGTTAAAGTCTTGTAGTCTTACAGTTGCACCATTTCTTATGTCAATCTGCAGCCCTTCCTTCAGAAGCTCCCTCACTTTCCACAAAGATCTCCATATCCAGGAAGAGTTTTGTTTCAAATCAGCAGCAAAGATTGAAGTTGTAGGGAAATACCTGCTTTTCAGTATTTTGCTCATCAGAAGCTGTGGTTGGGTAAGAGTCCTCCAAAGCTGTTTCACTAGCATTGCTTCATTAAAGAGTTTAACATCCTTGAAGCCTAATCCTCCCTGCTGCTTGGATAGTGTCATTAGATCCCACCTTTTCCAATGAATTCCTCTGGAGTGATCAGCACCTTTACTCCACCAGAAAGTAGCAAAAAGAGAAGCAATTTCTTTGCATATGCTCAGTGGCAGTCTGAAGCAAGTCATGACAAACAGTGGTAGAGCTGTGAGCACTGCTTTTATGAGAACTTCTTTCCCAGCTGTGGAGAGATGTTTGTTTTTCCAGCTAATCAGTCTATTTTTCACAGCATCAGTAACAAAGCTGAAGACTTCCTTTTTGGACTGACCAATGCCCAAAGGTAATCCCAAGTATCTGGAGGATTTTTGAACTTGGATACCTGGGAATGCAAGACACACTTCATTTTGAACAGCCATGCTAGTGTTTTTGCTGAAAAAAACTGATGACTTTGCCACATTCACCTTTTGGCCTGAGAATCTCTGGTATCTGTGAAGAATAGATTGAAGGACCCTGCTTTGGTACCTGTCAGCCTTGCAAAATATTAATGAGTCATCTGCGAACAGAAGGTGTGTGAGCATAGGAGCCCCTCTGGCAACAGCAACTCCTCTAAACAACCCTCTCTCTTCCTCAGCTTTAATAACTGCAGATAGAACCTCAGAGACAATAATGAAGAGGTAGGGAGACAGAGGGTCTCCCTGCCTAATCCCCCTCTCAGCTTTTATATAACCACTTGTGCAGCCATTAATAATGAAAGAATAAGACACAGTAGTCACACACTCCATAACCCAATTCACAAACTGAACAACAAACCCCATCTTAATCATTGTTAGTCTAATACTGCTCCATTCGATTCTATCAAATGCCTTCATCATATCAAGTTTTAAGGCCATATATGCATGCTTACCTGTTCTGTGTCTATTCAGAAAATGGAGACCTTCATTGGCTATTATAACATTGTCACTTAAAAGTCTCCCTGGTATGAAAGCAGATTGGGCTTCATTGATGCAACCATGAATACAGTTTCTCAGTCTATGAGCAAGAATTTTAGAGATCAGCTTATATACAACTGCACAAAGACTAATTGGCCTGAACTGACAGAGATTAACAGGGGCAGCACACTTAGGGACCAGAGCAATCAAAGTATGGTTCCAGTAAGGGAGTAATTTTCCTGATTGGAAAAAGCTAGCAACAGCATTGCAGATGTCATCTTTTAACAAAGGCCAGAAGTGCTGGTAGAATAGAGCAGGCATGCCATCTGTGCCAGGAGACTTTCCAGGGTTCATTGTGAAGAGTGCCTGCTTAATTTCAGCTTCATCCACAGGGGCCACAAGGTAATTGTTGTCTTCTACTGAGATAGTATGTGGGACATTTTGAAGAAGTGTGTTTCCTCCATGAGAACCTTCTGAGGTGAATAGAGTGCTGTAGAAGTCTTCCACATGTTCTTCAATGTCCTCCTTACTGTCACAAATTCTCTGTTGTTCAGTGATGAGCCTGCTTATAGCATTGTGCTTCCTTCTTTGCATTACCCAGGCATGGAAAAAATGAGTGTTTTGGTCTCCTTCCTTCAGCCATTGTGTCCTAGCCTTCTGCTTCCAGAACAATTCTTCTGATAAGTTGGCCTGTTCCATTTCTCTTTGCAGCTTGTCCCATTCTTCCCAGTTCCTTTGGCCTCCTTCCACCCTCATGGCTTCCAATTTCATAGACAGTGTTGCTATGTGGGATTTTTGGGTTGATCTGAAATATTTACTCCATTGCAAGAGAGCTATCCTTGTTCTTCTAACCTTCTCTTTAAGGCTGTAGAGGGGAGTGCCCCCATTGTGTTCTGTCCAAGCTTTCTTTACAACATCATCAACTCCTTCTCTGGTTATCCACCTTCTGTCAAATTGAAATCTTCTTTGATATGGAGGTTTATCAGGTTCATCTTCCAGCAGCAGCATGTAGTGGTCTGAGGAGCTTTTAAATAAGGATGTGGTTTGAGTTTGAGGGTAGGATCTGAGCCAGGCAAGAGATACAAAGCCTTTGTCTAAGGTTTCCTCCACAAACCCCTCTTCTGTTCTGTTATTTCCCCAAGTGAAGTGATGACCCTTGTGGAAGACTTCAGCCATACCCATGTTGGAAATGAAAGTTTGAAAACCCAGACAGCTAGCTTGAGATTTCACTCTGCCTCCCTTCTTGTCTTCTGGCTTGGAAAGATCATTCCAGCCCCCAATGATACACCAGCTATCACCCCAGTTCAGCTTTTTCTGTTCTAATTCATTCCACTGAGTGGCTCTTGTGCTTCTATCAGTGCTTAGGTAGACAAAGGTAGCCCACCTGAAAGTGTCATCACTCTGGAGTCTAAATTCCACCTCAATACAATAAGAGCAAGCTACCATTTGTCTGATTTCCACATCTCTGTGCCAAGCTAGTAAAAGACCTCCACTTAGTCCCCTTGGTTCCACCATTCTGCATCTGTCAGCAAAGCCCAAATTCTTACACACTGTCATAGTAAACTTATTAGTATTTTTAGTTTCAGATAAAAATATAAAGTGGGGGTGGTGGGTCCTTAAGGACTCCTTGAGCTGGGATACTGTACAGGCCCCACCCAGGCCTCTACAGTTCCACACCACAGCTTTCATTGTTCACTCTGGGGCCATTTGAGGCTGGCCTTCTCCACCTGTTCAGAAGAGCTTTTCAATTTCTTTGGGTCTGATTCCTTTTCATGGAACTCCTCCTCAACTGTTTTCAGAATTGTTCCTCCCTGCCTACCTCTTTTGAGACTTTGCAACTGAGAATGATCATCACCAACCTGCTGCTTTCTTTGTAGTCTACCCTCCTTATTCCCAACTCTCTTCCATGTTTTCAGTTTAGAAGCAGAGGTGTCAATTTGCTTTGTGCTGCTGTCATCTCTAGCCAGGATTAGAGCCTTTTGTGGAAGATGTGGATTGGTTACTATTATCTCTGTTTTGGTGTAGTCCATGTCTACTTGGGCTGGGGTTTCCACAATTTGTTGTTCAGAGTGTTGTTCCACCTGCTTTGAGAGGCTTGGCTTGTGTGGAGATTCCTGCCTTGAAGAGCTGGACTCAACAATGCTGAGGTTCTTGAGAGGCTGTTGAGGTTCAACAAGTTTTTCTATGATAAGTCTGCACATATTAGTCCCAGAAGGTGTAATAGGGTCAGATTTTTGGTTGAGGTCAGGAGGAGTCTCAGGTCCTTGTTCAGTAGATCTGCTGCTTTGCCCGGAGACATTGCTATTTCTGATGTCAGTTGCTTTCATCCACGAGCCATATTGCCCTTCTTTAATCTCACCAGTAGTTATGTCCATGGCCATTTTCTGACAGTCTCTATCCAAGTGTCCCAACATTCCACAGTAAAAGCACAAGTTTATAAGCCTTTCATATTTGAAGATGACTGTGATGAGCTCATCACCTAGCCTGAGAGAGGTACATCTAGGTAGAGCTTTGTTTATGTCCACTGAAACCAGTAATCTGATAATTCTGCCCCCAGCTCCCCCTGCAGTGGTGATTCCAACATTGTGGACAGATTTAAAAACTTTACCTATCTTTAGGCCAACATCTCTGCTCAACCAGTCCATTGGCACATTATAGACTTGTGCCCATATTTTCACCTCTTGAAAGCAACTGTCCTTGTCACATATTCCTTTTCTCCATTTTTGTAGAGCTAAATACTGGTTTTCATATATCCAGTTTGTTCCCAACAATACTTTCTGCAAATCGTCCAAATGTTCAAAGATAAACTGGAAGAAATTAGGGGAGATTTCACGAACCTCCATTCCTTGCTGGATTCGCCATATGTTAGCCAGCGCTCTTTTAAGCCCGATTAGAGAAGCTCGTCGGTTTCCAATAATTTTGCCCACCAAGCTTCTGCTACATTCTTCTGCACTGATCTTGATGTCCATATTACCAATGTCAATAACAAGGCTCTCTTCACCGGAGAGTGAGAAGTTCTGTAATCGTTGTGTCATTTCATCTGTATTGCCCGGATTTCCTTCTGGTGTTCCCATAGTGCTGATAGAATCCCTAGAGAAGACAAGCCACTGAGAGGATAGGTATGTGAACGAATGGAGAGGGAAGGAAGTCTTCAATGAAGAAATGGGAGCCCTCAGTTGACGGAATTAAGCCCTCAGTCGACGGAATCGCACTCTCACCTGAGAGAATAAATCCTCTTTAGATCGGAATTGATTGCGGGATTGTTGGGATAAAACAGAATAATAACATAAAATTAAAAATTTGTTAACATATTTTACGGAAATAAAATCGGAAGTAATTGATAAGATGTGAAATCTTTGTGGAACAAAATAATAATTCAGAATTTCAAATTGTATGGTTTATAAAAAATTGCTATAATTAGTATGTCAACATGGTTGACTCATTATTTTTTAAAAGTTTCCACAAATAATTTACTAACTTTTCTTTTTCAATATATATAGATTCTACTATTGAAAAGTCAACCAGATTTGACCAAAAATAATGTTTCCAATTATAATAATTCATCAACCTCTTTCAATTAGTATAGATTATGTGGTAGTGAATAGTGAATATTATTTAATTATATTGATAATAATAAGAGGATATAATTTGAGTTAATAATTAATATACTATAGTCTTTACCTAAATAAATTATACGGCCTATGTCTTAGGGCCAATAAATCTGCTTTATTTATTATGAGAAAAATAAGTTTGTACAAATTGGATTTCACCCGGTTTTTACTTTATTTTTTTATGGTAAAAATTTAATTTGATTTAAATTAAATTGTGTAGAAAAATTATACGTTTCGAATAGATATTCGTGATATATTTATTTTCTCGAGTTCGACTGCAGATATTGGTTTCAACCATACGCAGGCTGACTTGTCCTAGGCATATGGGCCTTGACCTAAATTCTTGATACTTGATCCTTGGCAACTGAGTGTGGGCTAGACTTGAACGGTTTGTGAAATTTACTTAGCTTACGGTAAAATTGAACTTTATTTAAGAATACGAAATCTCTATTTTTATTTAAAAATTATGAAAATTAATTCAAATAAACACAATAATCATTTCTAATATGAAAGTTGGCAATAATAATGAAAGAGCACAATTTACAGACTCACGTAAATCTTAATTGATCTCAATCATTCTTTCTGTCATCGTTGATATCGCGGGTAATATCTATTGCTTTTTGAACAAATCAAAGCAATCCCTCTCTAAATCTTTTGATCATTCATGGAATTGCAAAAAAGGGGCTAGATCTAGAAAGGTCTTGTGAGATCGGGTGTTACCAGAAACAAAGGAAAGATCTCATGTCATTCCTTTCTATCAATCATGCCATTATTATGTATTTGCAGCATTTTTCATGGCAAAAATGTACAAGGGGAGGGCGATGGGTGGTAATTGACCAGAGCGTGGTTTTGGTTCACACGGACAACGACATTCATTGATTTACCAGTCATTGAGTTAATCTATATATATATATATATATATATATATATATATATACATAAAGAGGAGCAACAAAGCATTTAATTTTATTATCATGCATTAAATTTTATTCTCCCTCCAAAATTTTCAGCATTCAATTTCATTTTTAGGTTACAAAATAGCTTGCTTGAATGCCATAAATTATGAGTATAAACCAATAAAGGGAGTTACAAAACTGTACTCAAATTTTAAGTCACCCACTCATTAAAATGACCGGGTGTATTAGCATAAAGAAAATAGTTGTATCGGCTCTTCCATAGCAATTACTTGATCAAAATAAATTTTGAGAATTATTTTCTTAATTCATATTTTTTTTTAATGAATTAACTTATGATTTTTTTTTATATTGTTATCTTTTTAAAGTATTCTTCTCTGTGCAAATGCACAGGTTGATTACTAGTATATATAATTGCTAGCAAGCTTCAACAAATTTTATTTAGCCAGCAATTAATAAAAATAGGACTTCATTTAATAGAAATCTTTATAACCAGCATTCAAATATACAATAACAAAAAAAATCTGATTTATATGGAAGTTAAATTATTTATATTTATATTATACATTTACATATAGGGAAAATTTTAAAATGTAATACACGCTTTATCTAATTTAAAGTTTTAAATATCATACGTACATATAATATATAAATTTTTGTTTCTTTTGTGCATGTACACATAATCGAATACTAATTCATATGAAGATAAAGTTCACTAAAACACATAATAATATTCTACAAGAAACGCATATTTAATTGAGGAGCTAGACCATCAACATTGATTATGCTGCACAATTAATCTCACCCCATAAAAAAATAAAATAAAATAATATTATGTGGACTGTCAATATATTTATATTTATATTATTATCTCGAGCTACCAAAATCGTGTAAATGCATCATTCACCATACGTGTAACGCGTCCTGTTAGTTCACATTGTGGACTAGGGACTTGAACTAAATCAAGTTACTTTCACAGTTTCACTATTTTTTCTTTTTTGGAAGCTATGAAACTCATATAATAAACCCGGATACAATGTTGTTTGTACGCTAAAGTTGTTTGATTAATTTAATTTTGGACGGCTCGTTTGAGTTTGAAAATTAAAAACAATTAAAATAAAAATAATATACAATTTAGTAAAATATAAATAAATTTTATATCAAATTAATATTTGCGAACATTATCAAACGTTTGTAAATAAAACCATATTTGCTCGATTAGTAAACGGGGTAGTTTATATATATAAAAATAAAAAAAAAAATAACTGGACAAAAATAAAAAAAAATTATGGACAAAAATAAAAAGCACGTATTCTCATTATACGTTTTTTTAATTAATTTTTGTTTTAAAAAAACATATTATGGTAATACGTTTTAAAATTATATTTTTAAAATATTTTTTCTTAAAATAATTGAAAAACGTATTTCAATAATACGTTTTATAAAAAAAATTAATAAATAAAACGTATTTTGATAATACGTTTAATAAATAATTAAGAAATAAAACGTATTATCCTAATACGTTTTATAAATAATTATATAAACCGTATTAAGATAATACATTTTATATTTTAAAATTAATGAAAAAAAAATTAATGTGTAGTATGATTTTAAGAATAATTTGGCCACGCAAGCATCATTGGATAGAGGGGTTCGTTAGCTACGTATAGGAAAAAACGGAACTCAATTCCGAGTTCAGACGAGCCCAAAACACAAAACACATACTATATATTAATTTTTTTATTCATTAATTTTGAAATATAAAACGTATTATCAAAATACGTTCTATAAATAATTATTTATAAAACGTATTTTGATAATATGTTTTATAAATAATTAAGAAATAAAACGTATTTGAATAATACGTTTTGATTTTTAATTATTTGTTTATTTCTTAATTATTTGTAAAACGTACGTTTTATTTATTAATTTTTTTAAAACATATTATGTGAATACGTTTCACACTAAAACGTATTGTCGGAATACGTTTTACACTATAAAACGTATTTTGAAAATACGTTTTTTAAATAAAAACGTATTCTCAAAATACGTGGTTTTGATTTCTGTCCACATGTTTTTAAATTTTTTGGTTTTTGTCCATTTAATTTTTTGTATTTTTAAATAAATAAATAAATCTTAGTAAACGAACTTAATTTTCGTTTGACCTTGGTTGGGTTAATTACACTCAGAGATTCATTTGAGCACGAACGATCTTTTAATTGCAAAAGTTTCGAATTGTCTCAAAAGAAAAAAACTCATTTCATAATATACACACCAATACAAGTAATTTAGTTTAGTGGTATTTTTTTAATTTATTGGTACATACCAAAATTCACTACCTACCTGACTCATGTATATAAATAGAAATACTAAATACTCTAATTTATAATCATTAAATTCGAAATTCAAAATCTACTCCATATTGTGTGTGCACACACACTAGATTCTGACCCTTCGCCTACACCTCTGCTCCATAATCGTCCGGCTCGTGATATTCACCGTCATGCTGCAGTTCATCGTCACCGTCACGTGTTTTCCGATCATCAGCACCCTCACCCTCCCGCCGACCACCGTGTAGCTGCTCATCGTCACCACACCCGACGCGAGATCCGACGCCAGATCCGGCTGCGACAGCACCCGATCCATCATCACATCCACCGTGATGTTCATCCTCATCGTCCGCTGCGCCCTCGCCCTCCCCGGCGGCCCCCGCGCCTCCCCGATAACGACTCCCCGGTAGTAGATCGCCGTCGTCGTGTTCCGGTACCTGAACGTCGCGAAGTTCGGGTTCTTCACGGACACATCGGCGGCTATGGTCATGTTGGACCCCGGCCGCGGCATGGCGGTGCCGGCGACGAGATCCGCACGCTGGACGGCGACGCCGTTCATCCGGATCACCGGATCTCGGATCCTGAACACGGTGAGGGCGAGGGCGGCTGCGGTGGCGGCCAGGATCAGGAGGATTCCGGCGGCGGTGGCTGAGCAGACGAGGAGCCGCCTGCGACGGCGGGATTTGGCGGTCGTTGGCTCGGCCTCCTCGTCGTCGCTGCTGGTGGGGCGGACGGAGGCGAGCGGACGGGCTTGATCGGGTGTCTCCGTCATATGGTTGGGTTTGATTAGTTTGTTGGTTATGGATTTCGATGACGATTGTTTTGGGGATTTAATTGGGTTTTGCTTTTATAGCAGTGAAATTCGAGTGTAGTACTGTAGTGGTGCGTTTTGTGTGGAAATATTTTCATTTTGGTTGGGCTCTAGTTTTTTGACTTTTTGTGCACATATTTGGAAAATTATTTTGAAAATTTGCAATTAGTTGACTTAGTTCCAAATTTTTTCCTCGTTAAACTAATAAAGGCAATATTATCTTCAAAAACACTATTATGATTACTTTAGTTGGACTACTCGGACATAGTTGTTGATTCTTTTACGGAAAAAAAAAAAAAAAAAAAAAGTTGTGGACATGAAAAGAAAAAGAAAAAAGGGGAGTGGAAAAGAATAGAAGGGCAGTATTCCTTGAATACGGTTTTTGAATTTTTTTTTTTTGTAAAACGTATTCCGTGAATACAGGTTCCTTTATAAAAAAAAATGTAAAAAACGTATTTAAGGAATACGTTTTTTAATTAAATTACACAGAAAACGTATTTACGAAATACGTGCTTTCTATGTTGGTCCACTCTCTCCTTTTTTTTTTTGTTTTTTGTCCACTTATTATTTTTTTATTAATAAATATATAAATTTCCATAGTTTGGTATCAATATTTTTAAATACCCTAATCCATATAATGTAGAGAGCTAGTGCCTAGTGCCTAAAACGGTTAATCAAAATGGAATTAGGATGGAATTAAATAGAGCTAGAAAAAGACATAAAGAAATTAAAATATATTATATATATATATATATCATTTTGCTTAATCAAAATATATATTATATGAAATATAATAATTAGTATATATGGTTGCATACAATTTCTTTCAATATATATAGCATATTATAACTATTATATTAATTTTACATATTTCTTCTTTTTTTTTGGTACAACTTTTACATATTTCTTTAATTTTACAATTATCAATGTTCCATGTATAAAAAACAAAATTTATTTTTATTATGATATAAAAATAAATTTTAAAGATGTAAAAAAATATAGGTAAAAAAAATATGTGGACATGCATCTAGACGACCGTCTTTACATCACCGTAGTTTCCATTCGATTTTTAATATGCGAGGACAATTCGTCTTAGATCACTCTTAAAAATACACAATTATAACCATCTCTTTTTAACCATTTTTTATCCTGATTGGAGACAAAAATTTGAATAAAGTTAGTTTTTAAAAATGGTTTTGGCGTCCGACTGTAGACGGTAGCAGTAATGAACACAGGAGATTGTGATGTGGTGTTATTGTTAAGTAGTTGGTAGGTGCCTAACATAATTGCGAATAAAAGAATGCCATTATTTGCAGTTAACATATTACTTTCCACAGCTGCCCTGTTATTACTAGCAGCGGCGGATTCAGAAATTTGTATGAGCCAGGGCAAAAATAGTTCGAAGAAATTTTTAATCATATTGCACAAAGTACTTCTATTAACAATTAAATAAATCATTGGAACAATCGGATGTTGAGGGGTTTCATATTCAATTTGCGTTTGACTTGATGCTAAAAAATGAAATTGAGAATGAGGTCTTGTTATTTAATTTTGCGTTTTTATTAATATTAAGAAATATAACAAAAATATTTTACCACCCTTTTTCTTCATTTTTTTGTAATAAGAAATAAACAAGTCAATTTGAAATGTAATTTATTAATTTAAGAAAAGTCTAAATGTTATTATTTTTGTTCTTGTTATTTTATAAAGATTTCCTTATAGATTATCTTATTATATATAAATGTAGAGTTTTTCATTGTCAATTTCTAACGATTTATAATTCTATATGTTAATGTCTAAGAATTCAAAATAGTCCATATAAATATGGATCTTTATCCAGAACTTTCAAGTTTAAACGCTTGGGTAACTTATTGTAAATATATTTTAAAAGTTAATAACATTTGTATACATTATCATTTTTTTTATATATGATAACTTAAATTAGTGATATTTTGACACTGTATAATTTGACATTAATATTGTATATATAAACAAAAATAATTATATCTATCTGACCTCTATCGATAAAAATTTAAATATTTATCAATTATAATTGGAAAACAATAAATTTATCTATCAAGTTTATTATATGGTATAAGTACTAAAAACGTTATAATATAATATCGTCGAATATGACGGGTGAGGTGTATCATTTTAAGTAAAAACAATAGTGTTATTTTGTAAAAATATTTAAAATTTTAAAATAAAAACTTGTATTTATATTTTTACACATATTAAATATAAAATTTTTTCAACACATATTAACTATGTATAGTTAGCACAAAAAATTAAGCCTAAGCAATATATTTATATGCAATCAATAGTTATATATATGCAATCAATTTTCCGATTAAGAGTGAGTATAGATATTTAATTAGATTGCAATTTTCAAGATTATCATGGCATCAATTCTCACAGCATCAATATGCAGTCAACAAGGAGTTGATCTTTTCAAGGACATTGCAATTTTCAAGATTATCATGGCTTGCCTGAATATAGAAATGTACGCGGTGCATCTTTTGCACGAGATTTTCTTGTCTTCTAAGCCTCAGCATTCTTTTTTTCCTTTCAACTTGATCTTTATGGACTTGTTACTAGTGCTATTAAATTAAGCGAGTCTGATTCAGCTCGGCTCGAGCTCGGTTTATTAAGGGTTGAGTTCGGCTCGAGCTCGAGTTCTTAACGAGCCGAATTCAAGCTTTAACGAGCCGAGTTCGAGTTCATTTTCAGCTTGTTTGGTTAACGAGTTGAGATCAACTCGGCTCGATAAGGCTCGCTAAGGCTAGAAAAGAAAACTTTTAATAATTTTTTATAATTCGACTAATTAAAGCTCGAGATAGACTCGTAAACGCTCGAATTCGACTCGTTAATAGTGATAAACGAGCTGAACTCGAGCTCGATTACAGATTCAATTATTCAGAATATGTGATGTTCTATGAAAAAATTCAGAATATTCTAAAGATCTTAATCTTTTGACCATCGGGCGTGGAGTTACTTCAATGGTTTGACTTTGTGCGAGTCCTTTTTCTTTTTTCTTTTTAACTAATTACTATTTTTCTAGATACGTCCTGGTATGGGATCGTTTGGACTACAAAATTAATGAGCTAATATTCTGTTTGGCCGATCTTGGAGATGCATTTTTAATCCCCACACCTTATTATCCAAGGTAACTAAAATCTAACTTTATGCATTTAATAAAATCTCCTTTTTTTTTTCTCTCCTTCTTCTTCTTGGGCTTTGTCGAGCAATTGTTAATGCACTACAAAAAATTATTATATTGTAACGAAAAAATTCTAAGATAATATATTTCAACGAATATTTTAATGATATAGATTCCGTTGGAATTAAAATTCCAACGAAAATATTGCGTTGGAATCACTTTTCCATTGGAATTTTAGATGGAATTTGATGATTTCAACAGCTATTTTTTCAATGGTTTTTACATAGGAATTTTTGTTGGAATTTTTATATCCACCTCCGTTGGAAAATCCATCGTTGGTCCAACAGAAATTCCAATGGAAAACTCATTTTAACGGATTTTTTTTTTTTGAAATTCCATTAAAATATATTTGTGTTGAAACTTTCCGTTGAAAATTCATCATTTTGTTGTAGTGATGCCATCGGATTCTTGACAGTTTCGAAAGGGACTTGAAATGGAGAAGTCGAATGCAATTGATACCCGTCGTGTGCAAGAGCTCGATATCTACAACTTTTGAATTACCGAAAGTGTCCTCCAAGAGGCATATGAAAATGCTAGAACAGAACAAACAATGTCGAGCCAAGAGCATCCTCATTCCTAGAGAACTGGAAAAATGATGGATTTTTAATCCACAACGGACCCCATCCTTCATAAAATTGGTAACGAGTTAAAACTGATTAAAATCAATTTTGACTGGTCAGTTTGTTTTCTAATACAATTTTTATAAAATACAAAACTTTATTGGTTTGAATGTTTGATATTTGACATGAGCATATATGAGTATCTATGCTAGGGTTGTTTTTATAGTTCGAGATGGTGATTCAATTCAATCGTTGGACCAGATTACACCACACTCAATTAACCACATTAACTTAATTTATAGAAACTTATTTATTAATCATAAAACAAATGTCATAAGGTAGTTGATGCTACATTTCTACTTTGCGGCATTCTCCCATCCTGCTCACGAAGTGAAAAAAATATTTTAGAATTTGAAATTTTTTTTCCCAAACCAAAGTATTCGATGTTGGAATGAACGAGAAAGGAGACTAAGCTTTCACAGATTGATAAGGGAAGTTTTTATTTTACATTATTGTATTTTTTTTTTTTTCTTCTAGTGTGTTTCTGATTTATGTTTATTTAGTCTCCAATATTATGTGTTTTAGTCTCCCGGGAGTTTGTTAGTTTTGTATAGTTTGTATTTATTTTATGTTATTGGTCTAGACCTCTTAATAGACCTTTTAGATTTAGCTTACTTATTTATTAAGAATTTGTTTGATAAGCACAATAAACTAGCTTATAGTTTATTTAGTTAGCTTATAAATTTTTTGTATTAAAATAAGTTTGACTTGTTAAGACGAACTTTTTTAAAGACCGCGAGAGTATGTCATAATTTTTCATTAGAAAACTTTTCAAATAAGCCTGTTGAATCGGCTTTTATCGACTAATTGTATCAAACATATTTATCATATCAGATAATTTTTCAACTATAAGCCACAAACTATCAGCTATAAGTTCGACATTCACTTATAAGCTTATCAATTAAGTTTACCAGTCTAGCCTAATTCAGTGGATATAGCTTTTCTAGTCTGTAATTTATTAATATAAGTGTATTGTTAAAAAAATATTCTACGTCCAAGTGAATTTTAACAATGTATGTCTTACAAGCTCTCACAAATCCTACGTAGACATTGAACATGTAACAGCCATTTTTTCTAAATTAAAAAAAAAAAAAAAATGCATGAATTTTGACTTCCATATGAGCAACAAATTTTAAGATGCGAGTCTTTCTTATTCAAAAGTTTGCATGAAACCAGTCATCACTTACATATTGTTACCACTTCAAAACTTTCTGTCTGCAACTTTCCAGCAAAACTATGTGATCAAATCAATGTTTACATTTTATTACATACCAAAATATGATGACCTAAATTACATTTATTTACTTAATTACATACACAATACACACAAAACAATACACATTGAGCAACTATTGCAGTGTCTATAATAATGTAATGATACCAACTTGCTCTGTCTAGTATGAGTTTGCCTTTTGCCTTGGATTTGCACAAAAGAGACCAAAATCAATTTTTATTATACACAACATCATTTTAGCAAATGACACAGGCATTTGGATTTTCTTCCATGCTGTGGTTCACATAGTAGTATGTGTTCACTGGCGGATAGTACTGCCTGAAAGGCATTACTGTCCCCATGACAAATTCGGGTTCGGTTTTTTTTTCGTTATCTTTCTTGGGCTCCTCTTTCTTCTCTTCTTCCTTCTTGGGCTCGTCTTTCTTCAGTTCTTCCTTTGGGCCATCCTCCTTCTTGGGCTCATCTTTCTTCTCGGGCTCTTTGGCCGGGCCCACAGAGATGATATCCACCCACCAATTCTTCTTCCGCAGCTTGCTTACTACTGTCACGGGGTCGACTGTTCCAATCACCGTTAGTTTCTTTGCTTTGGCATCAATGGTGATCTCATCAATTCCTATAATAGTAGTTTTAGTAGTTATAATAAAAAAGCAATGAATCATTGCAATGAATGTTCCAAATGCATATCAAGAGCACAAGACAATTTTACGGAGAAAGATTATCATTTGCCATCAAATGCGCAATTATGCGCCCAATAAATCTACACCAAGATTAACAACCGGAGTCCCATAATTATCGAGGTATATATATATTCAACAGATATTTCAATTCAGGAATGTAATTAGGCAATATGTTATCAGCCTTACACATAAAAAGAAATAAGCAACCACCTCTAACTACTGATGTACCAAACATTCAATGATGTTTTTCTTGCTTTTTGTTTTTCTCCTTATCTGGTCAATGTAGTGTAACACTTTAAAGGCTCAAACCTGAAAGAGTAGAGACTGTTTTCATAGCCCTCCTCTTGTCTATATCATCTTGCAAATCCAAATTCAGCACAATCTTCTGTACATAAACAAAATACTGACACATCAAGTACACATAGTGAAGAAAAATAAGTCACAACTGAACTGAAAATCCCAGAAAAGCTAACATTCAACGAAAAGATAAATTGACAACAATAAATACCACATAAGAAATCAGACTGAATACGAAAGAGAAATCTATAAAAATAGGGATCGAACCTTCATTTTTTTTTTTCGTTGTATTTGTGAGCTGCTAAAATAATTTCAACTCAGCCTGTGTTATGCACAGGTTCTGACAGAGAAAGCAGGGGAGAGTCTGAGTATCACCAAATTAGCAGATCCTTCGAGAAAAGAAGGGAAAATTGAGAGGCCAGAAAATAAAGGAAAACGAGAAGGCGATTGATAAAGATGGAGGCTTTAAGAATTGTGGGTTTTTGCAGAAAACTGAAAAGGGAAAAGGACAAGATTTTTATATACGAACAAAGAAATCTCACATTGCCATAGGCCCATAATAAGGGACTGAATCATTGAAAATACTGAGAAAATGAATAAAGGAGAAAAAGAATGTACTCGCTCTCTCAAGAATGGATAGGAAAGTGAGAACGAGAGAGAGTACCTTTTCTTTTCGAGAATTGTCAGACGACAGTGAAAAATCACTTTATTCTATAGAGTAAAAAAAAGCTTGTGTTGAATTGACCTTTTTGTCTGCATTCTGTAAACAAGAATCAAGATTAGTTTTGGGGTTAAGGCCCACGAGGACTGTAGGAGCGTGGTGACCACGTATAGTGCTGATGGAGTGACACGTCGGAATTTTACATGCCCGAAAAGGGTGGTGGTTATTTTACTAATAATTTTTATTTAAGGGAGCAATAAAATGTCGGACTTATTTTGCATTTTTATATGCCCACCACAATAATTATGTCATTTATATGTGGCCGAAAAGGTTTCTACTTTCTCTGGGTGTTTATTATCTTCGGCTTCATTTCAACTTAATTAGATCTTGTTTACATGGTGGGTTTGAATATAGTCATGTAGTCTGTAGAAGTCCTTTCGATTATGATTGTTCTTTATTTCTGATTATTATATATCTATTAGTATTCGACTTATGTACATTTACAAAGATGTAAATGAAGCTATGAAAATAATTATAAAATATTAAATTTATAAGTTAGATAACAATATTATACTTTAAACATAAGATATTATATGTTATATTTAATGAATATAATATTAAAATTATAAGTTAGATAATACTACTATCCTTTTAAATTTGATCATTGGTTAAATAAATAGTACATAATGATTTGATTGCATACGAATCAATATGACGATTGCATAAGAAGTAACAAATAATGTAATTTTTTTTTTTATCTTGAGAGATCATGACTAATTAATTAGCTAAAAAAATATTCAATTTATTTTAACAAATGCTTATGCGATTTTAAGAAATATTACGATGACAATAAAATAAATTAATTTATTTAAAAAACAATCACTTAATAAGAAAAAAAACAATATTGTTTTAGAATAAATAATTTCAACAAAAAATTTTTACAATATAATTTTTTATGTTTATGTATTTTTCATATATCATTTAGTGTAAAATATAATTATTAATTTTAATATTAACGATTATATGATGCAATAAAATATATAATTATTACTCAGCTAATATGAAATGTAACGGTTTTTATTTTAATTAACCTAAAAAAGGTGCAAAAAAATATTTTATCATTAATGGGATAGGGTGGATTAATAATAATAATAATAATAATGATAATAATAATAATAATAATAATAATAATAATAATAATAATAATAATAATAATAATAATAATGGAGTGTAACGGTTTTGTGTTATGAAAGTTGCCATATATAATGTTGATGAACGGATTCGATCAACGATTAAATCGGAATTGCGTAAAGTAGAGAACCGGATATAAGGAGAGAATACGGTTTAAATGGGTATTTATTAAATAATTACGAGTTCGGCCTCTGCGTTCGAGGTCGGTACTTTTATTACACTTTGGGATAATCAAGGAAATTAATTATAGGAATCTAGAGAGAGTGATATGGGATATTATATATCTAAGTAATATACCGGTTCACTAGGCCGGTCGTGCAAGCCTAATACTAGAAAGGCCACGTCGGTCGAGCAATAGCAATCGAAAAGAAAGTGGTCGAACATCGTAGCAGGTCTGGTCGAAGATCGACCTACTAAAGGAGAGCTCATCTGATCGACCACCTGGCGAGTGAAGAGCAATCGAGAGCGTAGTGAAGACGCGAGGAAGCGCGTGGTTTTCTTCAGAAAATCTCAAGGAATATTCAAGGAAATAATTACCCTCTGCTCAGAGGGGCATGTGGCAAGAGTATATTGGTGCAGAGTGATAGTGGCGATAACTACCTCTGACACACACACACACACACACTGTGTGTGTACAGACGGGCAGATCCGGGCAGCGTTGGGCAGACAGCTCACCAAATCCGGGCATCTCCTAGGGCAGGAATCTCACTTCTATATATATAGGAGTGAGCCTTTTTTGTTAAGCACGATTATTCCATTTTTTACTCTTGAGAATTGAGTGAAACAGATACTGACTTAAGCATCGGAGGCTCTTCACCGGAAAACCCCCCGGTGTGAGAGTTTTTTGCAGGTACGCGGCGTTCTACCGGCGAGGAGGAGGAAGACGAGCCGATTTCAAGCCGGTCGGAGTGTTTTGCGTTACCATTTGGCGCCGTCTGTGGGGACTTTCGTTCGAAAAGTGGTGTGCTGAGGTTAGTTGAGCTTGGTAGCTATTTGAGGACGGAATTCCCAGAATGAATTTGCAAGCGTCGTTCGATGAGGCGTGGACGACGACAAGGCCATTTGGAGAAGGCCCTCCTCCGGGATTCTCCAGACCCTCACATACACCGGTGACCCCAACGCCTACTCCTCAAGGTTTGGGGGTCACGCCGGTGCATCCAGAAGCAGATGTGGGCTCAAGCCAAGCTCAGGAGGCCCGTGTGACTCAGGGAACGGCGATCCCGACGTTGTTACAGCCATATATGGCCGTGGTGCAGCAACAGGGGGCGGTGGTGCAGGGAGTAGCACTGCCGCGGGTGGAGGAGCAGAGCCTTGGCCAGCAGGTGGTGATGACCAGGCAGGAGATGCAACAGATGATGGCAAACGCGGAGTACATGCGGTCCAGCAAGTCATGCAAAGCCTCTCTCGGGTGGATACTGGGCCGATGGTGGCGGAGGAGGATGTATCTAGCTATGGAGGAGATAGGGGCGAGATCAGCAAGTGGAGAGACTCGCGGAGCAGGTGAGACAAATGCAGGCCAAGATGGATGGTCGACCGGAGAGACGTGATCGAGGACATCCGTTCTCGGGAGAGATACTGGCTGCGCCATTGCCAGCAAATTTCAAGGACATGAGTTTGGTGTTCGACGAGACTTCTGACCCGTCGAGGCATATGAGGGCATTTGAGAATATGGCGGTGTTGCATGGTTATTCTGATTCTGTTAGTTGCAGGGCGTTTTTGTCGACCTTGAGAGGAGGCGCGCTAGATTGGTTCCAACAGCTCCCTCATGGATTGATCAAGGATTTCGAGGACTTTGTGGAGAAGCTGATGACTCAATATGCGAGTGCTATAGCCCAGGAAAAGACATACCTAACTTTGATGGCGATGAGGCAGGGAGAGAATGAGTCATTACGCAAGTATGTTGCTCGATATAATCAAACTTGTTTGGAGATTCACACGGCTTCTGATGAGGTAAAAGTAGGAGGTTTGATAAGGAGTTTACAAGCAGGGTCTTGTCGAACGTCTTTGGCCAAAACCCTTGCTTGTACCTATGACGAAGATGATGTGGCATTTATGGCTAACATAGCCGTAGGACAAGAACCTACAAGATTTGAGCAGGCTAAGAAGGATGAGCAGGGGGTAGCAGCAATGGATGCTGAGCTAAAGGCCCTAGAAGATAATCATACTTGGGAGTTATCATCTCTTCCACCTGGTAAGAAGGCTATAGGCTCAAAATGGGTATACAAAATCAAAAGGAGAGCAGATGTTACACTAAAAAGGTACAAGGCTAGGTTGGTGGCAAAAGGGTCTACTCAAGTGGCTGGGGTGGACTACTTTGATGTTTTCTCACCAGTTGCAAAGTTGGTGACAATCACAATGTTTATGGCAATGGCAACTATTCAAGGATGGACAATATGGCAATTGGATGTGAACAATGCCTTCCTCCATGGCACCTTATCTGATGAGGTATATATGAAATTGCCCCAAGGTTATGACAAAGGGGAAAATGGCCAAGTTTGCAAGCTCATACTTATATGGTTTGAAGCAAGCATCTCGATAATGGAATTGTGAATTACCAAAAAAGGTTGTTGGAATTTGTTCTATCATAGTCACCACAAGATTATTGCTTATTCACAATGCATAAGGGTGACCATTATCTTGCTATGTTAGTGTATGGGGATGATGTCCTAATCATAGGATCTAGTCTTGAACAAATAAATCTCCATGGTCTATTCACCATCAAGGATCTTAGGATTGCAAGATATTTTCTAGGAGTGGAAATTTCAAGATCTGCCATTGGAATTCAACTCTGTCAAAAAAAAGTATATCTTGGATCTCTTGAGAGATGTGGGACTAGAGGATTGCAAAGCAGCTACAACTCCATTACCACAAGGTCTGAGATTAACGGGTCATGATGGCCAACCACTGTCAGAACCTGACAAATATAGAAGGTTGATTGGGAGACTTCTATATTTTAACATGACTAGGCCAGATGTGAGCTATGCAGTTCAACAACTAAGCCAATTTGTTAATAGTCTTTTTACTGAACATTGGGATGCAACAATTTCAGTACTTAATTAATATCTTAAAGGTACTATCAGTCTTGGGTTGGTTTTCAGCTCCAACTCACAACCTACTCTAAGTGCCTTTTGTGATGCTGATTGGGCTACTTGTAAGGACACTCGTAGATCAATCACAGAATATTGTGTTTTTGTTGGGAGCATTCTCATATCTTGGAAGAGTAAGAAGCAAGTTACAGTAGCTAGATCATCGGCCGAAGCTAAGTACAGGTCTATGGATACAACCGTTTGTGAACTGCAATTGCCAAGGAGTTTCAGCTGGAACCTACCATGCCGATCACACTTTGGTGTGATAAAATCATGTAGCCATGCACATTGCAGCCAATCCGATTTTTCAAGAAAGAACAAAGCATCTTGAGATTGATTGTCATATTGTTCGTGACAAATACAAGGCTGGCTTCATCTTACTTACTTATGTACACTCCTCTGCTCAACTGGCCGAATTTTTTACAAAGCTACTTCTAGATGCTGTTTTCTATTGGTTGTTGTCCAAGCTGGGTGTCTCTAACTCGAGCACACTCCACCTTGAGGAAGGGGTGTGAAAATGCAGCAGCTATTCAACCGTTATGCATGGATGTTGGCAGGGGTTTTGGAATTTAACATTCTCTAAAAAGGGAGGCAGTTATAACTGCCTTTATTTTAGTCGACTTTTCACCCTTAGTCGCATCACGCTTCTTTAAGTTTGTTGCTTGCGTTTTTTGGCTTAAGTGTGAACGACAACGTATGAACATTACTACTAGACGACGTCGTTTTTTTTCTGCTTGCATGTGAGATATAAATGTATGCATGAGCTCCTGATTTTTGTATGAAATGAAAATATCCCAAGTTTAGATCTTTGCATTTACAAATTATCTTTTAATATAAGGCCGCGCAACGCGCGGGTGATGTACTAGTATAATTGAATTCTAAAAATTAAGGTGTTCAACTGACATTTACGCAACGCGCGGGTGATGTACTAGTATAATTGAATTCTAAAAATTAAGGTGTTCAACTTGCATTTACGCAACGCGCGAGTGATGTACTAGTATAATTGAATTCTAAAAATTAAGGCGTTCAACTGACATTTACGCTCAATTATTTCAAACTAATACCTAATCATCAATCATGCATGAGCTTCACCAACTGCCCCCACCAGATAATTAATGGAACAAGTGATCTACAATATTACGAGTTGATGGATTTTATTTCCACGTCAATTATCACAATTCATCAAATATACACGATTCACGCATGCATGTGATAGTGCTGAAATTTTGATTTATCCGATAGAGACTAAGAGACATCAAGATTCAAGCTTCAAGAAATATCTATGAGTTGTCAACTTTAATCCCCAGAAATTCCTCCACCATAAATGAAGTTTTTGGTTTAGGATTTTCTAAACATGGTGGTGGGCTCCTTCATATATTAGATAAATGAAAGCTACTAACATTTAACCTTCTTTTTGTGTTTGTGGTAATGGTAAACACAAATATGAAAGATGCCATCATCATTTCTTTAATTTATTTTGAAATTAGCGGCTAAGTTATGAATGACATAATAATTCGATTTTATATATATATTCTTGGGAGGCCAAACTCATTGGAAGGCTGCATGTGAGGTTCGTATTCATTTTACACATAATTTAGATGACAAAAAAATATGTGTAGAAAAAGTCATAAATTTGAAATTGTGAATGAATATGAAATAAAATTATAATAATTCAGATCGAAACTATATAAAAATAATAAAATATTAATATGATATGACTGATAATTAAAAATATCTGAGTAGGCGAATAATTTTTCAATTTAAGAAATATATAATTCTTAATACTTATTTTCAAAGTGGAGTTTTAGAAAGAAAAAAATAAAGATAAGTTTAAAATTTTAGAAACAATTTTTTAGTTCTAATTCAATGAGACAAGTTCTGTAATAATAAAAAGCATTTTTTTATTTGCGAAATTTCAATAAGGATACACTAATTTGACTTTTTTTCTTTTAATTGAAAAAATACAGGATTTAGACCTTATTATAATTGCTATATTAAGTTGACAAATTTATCATAAAAATGTACATTAATCACCCTCTTAATATAACTTGATGATGATATGGCAGAATAACAATTTACACCTAGAGGTCGAAATGAATCTGCCACGGGATAAAGCCAAAAACAAGCCGAACATTATATCCGCAATGCGTATAAACTTATATTACTCCAATTGATCTAAAATTTTACTCGTAATACTTTTTGTTTAAGGTGAACATTAGGCCACTCGACCAATATGAAAGTTTGATAAGACCTAAATTAACCACAGAGAACATCACATTTCAATTTTTTTATAAAAATTAAACAAATAAAATGATTGAAGTATTATATGAATAAAACCGCCTTGAGGGTTGAGGCTTGAGTTGAAGAGTCAACGAGTCAACGTTTTTTTTTTTTTTTATATATATATATCAGTAGATGTTTTATTTTGCAATTATCGGACTCACGGTCACGGATCTGGTTGGGGCCCGGGGAACCACAGCCCCACTTTGCATGCCCACGTGGCTGTAGGGTGCATGTCGTGGATTTTGCGCATTTCAAGACTCAACTCGCGCGTGACGCGTGTGACGACACGCTCCAGTTGTCCCTGTTTTTTCTCCCTCTTCCCCATCAGTTCCAGACTATTCACAAATGGAACCCTAATTCTACACATCAAGATCCTCAAAATTCCCGAATTTGGATGGTGTTAGAAATTCGAAATTCCCTCTTAGATGAGCTTCTAAAAACCCTAATTCTTCTGAAATCTATCGATTAACTCAATCCGAACTTTAGGGTTTTTTTATTAAAAAGAAAAGGAAATGAACGGACGTGACGATGAATTGCAGCTAGCTATCTATAGCCCTCCCCCAAGCTTCACCGGCGGGTGCCTGGAAATACGCCTCTTTTACGTTCGGATCGCGCCCTGCGCGGTGGACGGCCTCCCCGACCAGCTGAGGCTCCGACACCTCCGCCGCGAGCTCGGCGTCCAGCTGGAAATCAACGGTGAGCGCATCCCCCCGTCCGACGCTGTCTGCATCAACCTCCGCCGCGATCGTGTGGACAAGGATTCATCCGAGGTAACGTACGTCAGCACCGATAGCGTCCGGGTCTCGGGCCCCATGGAGTTCGAGGTCTGCGAGGAAGGGGACGGTGGGGATTTGGTCCTCTGCGGCTCGCTGGAAAGGGCTGATGTGGGGGCCTCGTGGGGTGACGATAACGGGCCGGGTAATGATTCGAGAACCGGTTGGAGCCTGGAGTGCTACGTGGCGACCTCTGTTGCCAACGGGAGGTCGGCCCTTCTCCACCCGAAGAAAGGGGCTTGCTCGCCCACGATTGAGGTTTATATAGCAGGGTGCTGCTCGGGGGCTCCGGTGATCTTGATGAAGACTGTGTTGGTTAGTCCGAGGAGGAAAGTGAGGCCTGGGGTGACACTGGATGCAATTCCCGAGGATGAGGAGATTGGGAAGGAGCAGATGAATCTATGCAATGGGGTGGTGAGACAGAGGAAATTACAGGTAAATTATTGACTATTTTAGCTTTCGGGTTTATTTCTTTTGTTCTGCTTCCTTCAGTTGGCGATAAAGACGTGAACTTATCCTGAGTGGTGCATGTTTGAGATGTGATTTTCTAAATGATCTGCTTTGCCCATTTGCGGACTACCAATTAAAAGGGAATATGGGTTTAAATGTGGCTGAAGTTGAAGAGGGTTCATTCAGTTGTACTAATATAGCATGATTTTAGTTCTGATCATGGTAGCATTAGTGATGCTATGGGTTCGAGTACGATATTCTAGCTGCCGGGGAGATCATATAGGGAATAGCTATTGAATTGTCATCATTGTTTTTAAGCATATTTCATACTTGAACTTAACTTATTGAAGTCAAGCATAGTATTAGTATGTAAACATTGGAAGAATAATAGCTATACCTAGAGGGCATAATTGAAAGGATATCATGGGACAAACAAAAACAAATCCATGACCAATTACGTGGTGCAGCATTACATTTAGAACCTTAGGTTGCCCGACCCTGTAAAATGATAATGACCCTACGTTGAAATGTTTATTTCATTTGTGCTCTTATAGGGGGGTTTTCATTTATCGGTAAGAGAGATTTTCTTACATCTCAGTTAAAAACTGTGGCAATGAGGTTATCGGCTAATCCAGTTTTCTTTCACTTTATCTAGCTCAAGAGTAGGTTATTGCAGTTTTTTCCTTTTGGCATTGTTATTGGTAAATGTCTCCTGTGATTTTTTCATGATAACATGCTGATGCTATGGGGACAACTTAGTTGGGAGCAGTAGTATAAGTATTCTCTCGTCACAGCTTTGGATAAAGGGGCAATGGAAATTATTGACTGCATGACTTCAATGATATGTGTGTGTGTGTGTGTGAGAGTGAGTGAGTGCAGGCTCTTTTGTTCTGAGCTGCATTACCCTGATGTTTCATACCTTGAGATCTATCGAATAGTCCATACTCGCCAGATCCTTTAAACGTGCTCTATTTTTTCCTGCATTGTATATAGTTTCATCTTATCTCAAAATCATATGTCATGTGACTAGGCATGGAGTTTTAGGTGAAGAGTTCAAAAGAGTCAAGTTAACTGCTGTTACAATATTTCCTTTTTAAGTAGCAGTTGGGAGTTAGTTTTGTTAATTACTTAAAAAAACTTTTTACAGATGGGTTAATATATGCTTTGTGGGACCTGTTTGTTGTTACAAAGGGAGTATTTTCAGAAGCAAACAAAATTTGTATGATGATAATGCTAGGCGATATAGAACCTCCGCATTCTTGTTGGAAATAATCATTTGCTAATTGGGAGTGAGACAATATTCGGCAATTTCGAATAATATGCATTTATTAATCTTTAGTTGGAACAGCACAAGAAGCTTTCCTTCTTTTTTAACAATTGAAGCCGACAGATTAACTTAAAACTTTTGAGATTTTTTGCTAATCCGTTGATGCTATCCTCATGTTAGTCAACTCTGTGAGATTATCTATCAAGACTACAGTTAACCCTCAGTGTACCTCGTTTTCTCAATCCACTGCAGTTGATGCCTACTGATATGGATGAATATGAGTCAGATGGAAAAGTCGCATATGGCAATTACTCTGAAGAAATGTACCCAGGTGAAGACGGCCAGCTCACGTGGTTCAATGCTGGTGTAAGGGTTGGTGTCGGGATAGGTCTTGGGATGTGCCTTGGCGTGGGAATTGGCGTTGGCCTACTCATGCGATCTTATCAAGCCACGACCAGGAGTTTCAGGAGAAGGTTTTTCTGATTTCTAACTTCTCATTCGGGAAAAAGAAAAAAAAAAAAATACAAAAGTATTGGTGGGCATCATGTTTGAGATGGAAAGCATAATTCTTTTGCGGTTTTGCTAAAATCTGGAGAGATCATAAATGCCGCAGAGGGAAGTGAGAAGCACGCAATACAGAGCAATGCTGTTTGGTTGAGTGCTGCTATGTTTCTTGCATCGTGTGCCGTATGGAAGTATTTCATTTTGCAGTGTTTAGTGTTGATGTGTTTGGCCTGGCGTGCCATGAAAAAGGGGATGCTGGGTTCGTGCGTGGATGGTATTTTAGTGTGATCTTGTGTATTTAAGTGTTGTGCTGGGTCTATGGTAGATATCTGTCACTGATGAAGTCTTTGCCCTGTCGAAACAATTTTGCCCGAGTAAAGTTTCTCTTCTTTTCTTTTTTCTTTTCTTGGGTTCATTGTAATGGAATTTGGTCGTCCTTCCCTGAGTTCATGAATAAGTAGCTATGTTCAAGCTACATTGTAACGGTACATTGCTGTAGAGTTCGTTGTTATCATTGAGATCAATGACTTTGTTTATGATTCTATACAAGCAGCAGCCGTGATTAATTTCCTTCTGTTAAAGACTTCTCATGATCATGAAAAGATTATTAATTTTGACGTAATTGAATTTGAAATTCTATAAAAGAAAAAAGTGAAAAAAAAAATCGTTGAATCTGATTGGTAATATTTATTGATAGAAGGATGTCCAAGCCCCAAGAGTTAATAAAATGTTACCATTTCAGGTTATTATAGCTTAGGTGTTACTTTTTTAGTAATTTTAATTATTGAACGAGTATTCGATTTTGTGTACGTATACATGTTAAATAAAATATTATAAGTTATATATGTAAATATAATAATTAAATTATAAGTTATACATGTTAAGTAAAATATTATAAGTTATATATGTAAATATAATAATTATATTATAAGTTGTATACATGTTAAATAAAATATTATAAGTTATATATGTAAATATAATAATTAAATTATAAGTTATACATGTTAAGTAAAATATTATAAGTTATATATGTAAATATAATAATTATATTATAAGTTATACAATGGTATTATATTTTGAATATTATTGGTCAACACACTCGATAATGTTGGAAAAAAAAATAGATATCGGTTTACTAAACATAATTTCTTTAATTCTTTGAGTCTACCATGTCATTTTGATCGTTCACATGTGAAGTGGAAGGATATTAGTGAACCTACAAGACAGTGGTAGAATTTAGACCTACCATGTTTGATTTTATGACGACATGAAGTGTTTTAGTGTTGGTGTACCTATTATAATTTTAGAAAACCAATACTAGCGGTGCAAAAGGATACTACCAGGTTCGACGTTTCCTAACGAACAAGAATTACTTGTATCTTATTATAAATTTAATAAATCGATACTTGTTTTTAAATGAATAGTTGCATGTGACGTTTACTAGTACTGATGCAATAATATTTAGTACCAACTTTGTTGAAAGAATAAGAATTACTAGTACTAGTTATAATTTTAAGAAAACCGATGTTGATATTGCAAAATGACATGTCATGTTTGATGTTTTCTGTTACTCATGCAATAGTATTTAGTACTCACTTTGTTAAACGAACAAGAATTACTTGTACCTTATTATAAGTTATAAAACTGATACTGGCATTGCAAAAGGACATTACCAAGTTCAACGTTAACTATTACTCATGCAATAATATTTAATACCAACTTTATTGAACAACCAAGAATTACTTGTACTTATTATAGTTTTAGAAAATCGATACTGGTATTGCAAAAGGACATTACCGGGTTCGACGTTTCTGACTACTCATAGAATAGTATTTAGTACCCAACTTTGTTAAATGAACAAGAACGTCTTATATATATTCATAAGTATATACAAATCAAAAATTGGTTGTAAAATTCATGTAAGGTCAACTTCATACTTTATATGTAATATAACAGTACTTACAAAATATTCATACAGTACATACTAAAATTATATTGATCACGTGCCATCAAGAAACACATTCTAACATCTAAGACATATACTTAGAAAAGACAAATGTCAAAAACAAAAGACCCTTTATGTAACGCCCCACTTGATTTTTAAAGAAAATTCATGGCTTTTCCAAAAATCACAGTAAAATTTTCGAAATTCATTTTTCGATTCATAAACATTTCGGCGGTACTAATTCAATTCAAAACATAGTTCAAGTCGTGTCTAAACTAGTGGGGATTCATAAACCCGATTTTTCAAAGGTTTTCATTAACCCATTTCACAGATGCATGATCAATAAAATAAACATGATATCCATTTAAACACATACTTATGAATATCAAGCAGAAGGGTTTCAAAACCAACTCAACTTTTTCAAATCAAATATGAAATCAACCAACATGTCCAAATTCAAGAATAAGGTTCATAACTGTAGAAGCAAATAATACTAATAAATAAAAAGACCACCCACTCGCTTTGTCTCGTCATCCGTCAACTACTTAACCTGCATCCGTGAAGAGAAGGTGGGAGTTGGAAAATATAGTACTTACCATTATGCATATGAACAATATAAAATATATTAGGATGGTATGGTCGCAGCATGAACATAAACAATAATAACATCATGTCTCATCTCCTATACAATATTACACCAATTCACATTACTCCTGTGCACATCTATCGCTAGCCGCAGAACGGGGATTCATTACCCGAAGGCGGGAGTACATGCCACACTATGGACACGGCCTTCTATATGGGCTTACGTACCTCGCAAGAGCACGACCATACCAGGACTTAAGGAGATTGCCACACAAGGGCACCGTACCGTAACTCGACGGGGACAACCGTACCGACTGCCGTAACAGCTCACATCGATAGGCTACATGTTCACATGCATACATAGATCATACAGATTTCAACATATTTAAAACACACATGCATAGACATTTTAGAATAACTAACCCACCTGGTATTCGGATTGACAAAAGCACAATAAGAAGGGACATAGGTCGAGGCTCGACTCCTCAAACACCTACATTAAGTCAGGATACTACAATCAACACCTATCTTAACCTTAGAAGGAAAACACAATCATACTTAGTCAAATTTGATTCAACTAAGTTGTACGTGGAGTCCTGTGGACATTGGAACACTTGGACTTAACACTTAGACTCGACCAAACCAATCATGGGAGTACACATAAATTCAAATAAAAGATGGCCAAGACAAATAATAAGGAGTAACATATAAACAAGATTACCTAAAAATTTAGACTTAAACAACATAAGCTAAAAGACAACAATATTTTATGAACATATCACATATTCTAGATGATTAGGAAAATGGAAGAGTTGACCTCTGAAATTTTAACACAAAATTCACCTCACTGGACATAGCAAAATCACCAAGTTTCAGTCTTTAACTCCAAATACCCAATTTTATAAAATTCGAACAAGATTTCAGCAAAAACGATCATAAATCCATAGCCTGACCTAATGAACGATTTAACCCTTGAAGTTTTTACACAAGCAACTACAGCATGTAAATGTCAACATATAAAATTCTCAGATCCAAACATTAAATACATGAATTATAAAATTTATAGCAAGATTCTGCAGAATTCGAGTTTTTAACAAAACTGCAATAAAATGAACTCGATAAATCCTGTGCATTTTTCCTCACGTAAATCATCATTAAACGAGCACATAAACCAAAATTCAGCAATTTATAGCAACAGGTCGATTTTTTATACATTAAACAAGGTTCAAAATAACCAATTAAAATAGCTACAGATGGAATTTAAACCTGAAATTTTTACACGACATGTATAATCATCAAAGGATATCACACACAAAATTTCACATCATTCGGAGAAGCATGCGATTTATCATGAACTTAACAATATACAACGACTATTCGAGTTCGATAAATCATAAACGGCACATAACTCATTTATTTCGTCCGAGGCCTTAACCATAAGGCCAAGGACTTCCAAACGTTCCATATTAACAGCATTCACACGACTAATATTATGATCTCTTTCGATTTCACACGAACCGAAAGAGGTCTCGACATAAACACATAGATATTTATGCATAAACATGAAATACACATTAAAGCTTTAACATCATCACATATCATGTAAATAATCGAAGGAGGGATCGAGCCTCAGTACCGTTCTTGGAAAAGTCGCGAGAAAGGATCGAACGAGGGTTGACAGCACGACGGTGACGACGCACGGTTTCACGGCGGCGCTCGGCGCTTCACGCTCGGCTCGCGAAGGAGCAGCGGCGGAGAATGACGGAAAACGTGGCCTGCGCGTGGACAAGGTATGCCCGAGAATTGGTCGCCGGTCGCTATGGAGGGACTATGCGCGGAGGAGGGACTCGGGTACGCTGCTGGTCGCGGCGGAGGAGTTGCGCGCGGACAGGCTTCATCGGAAAATCGCGGCGAGGGCTCGCGGAGGAGAAAGGCTTGTCGTTGATCTCGCGAGCGGGAAAGCAGCGTCGTGAGGAGGTCGCGAGGGCCTGAGGCCGATGAGCGATGGCGGGGAGAGAGTCGGCGGTCGGGAAAAAAAAAGCGAGAGGGAGAGATGAGGGGCGATCAGATTTGGCGAGCGAGAAAAGAAATAGAGAAAGACTGCGGGGTCTGATAACATCGAGAGAGAGAGAGAGAGAGGNTCAGCCGGTTTGGGGCGGGGCGCGCGGGTTCCAAGAGTTCGGGCGGGTGTCTCGGTTCTCTCGGGCTCGACTTAGCCGATAAATTAGCTCGGTTCTCGCACGACAAATTAAAACAAAATTCGGATAATATTATATATATAATACACACATTAATTAATTAATAATAATAAACATTTAGACATTTAAAGACAATTTGGCATTTAATAATAATAATAATAATAATAATAATAATAATAATGACAAACAAAAAAAATTATTATTTATTAATAATAATCCCAAAATTATTCGTAAATAAACGGGGCATTACACTTTACATATAGTATATTGAATAAAATGCAATACGGGCATGCAAGTCCATGACACACATAGACAGACATTGACTTACACTCAATACAAACACATTCATATGTGTAACGTATTTTAGATAGTAGTCATTATCTGAAAGAACAAGTACCATATGCATGCATCAATGGTACTATGTCCATTTACGAGAAAATTGACATAACCTAACATAAATAGTTGGTATATATGAACAACCAACAATCATTGAAATCTTCTTTATTTTTTTATTTTTATTTTTGGAGCATATAAAGAACAAGAACTCACCGATTTCAAACTAAATAAATAAATAAACCTTGGCCTCAGATGCCAGGAGATTTCACAAAGAGTGAGGATTTTTGTTCACCGAAAAAAACGGGTTGGGAGTTTTTTGAAAATGCTCACACAAGTTTATCTGTTGGGAGTTCGTTGAAATTGGTTACTTTAGTCTTTCACCGACGCACCTCGGGTCCTTATTTGGCCGGAGTTCGTTGCACCCGTCGTCAGAGTTCATTGCGTCCATCTTTAGCCGGAATTCGTCGTATTCGCCTTTTATCGGCGTTCATCGCGTCCGTCTTTCGCCATAGTTCGTCAGATCCGTCTTTCGATGGAGTTCATTGTGTCCGTCTTTCAACGGAATTTGTCAAACATCACTTGAAAAAATAGAGAAAAAAAAAAAAANAGAATGAAGAATGTGAGAAATAATAGAAAAATTGATAAAAAAAAATTGGATAAAATTTTGTTAGTGTGATGTGAAAGGCGGCAAATGAGTCGGGCTCGAGCTCAGGGTGCTTGAGTTCGAGCTCGAGCCCTTAATGAGCAGAGTCCGGTTCGGCTCGTTGATTAAACGAGCAAAAAATCAAGCTCAAGCTCGGCTCGTTTATTAATATTAAAGAGCCAAATGATAAAAAAATAAAAAATCTCTTTTTGAACATTAGCGAGCCTCATCGAACCGGACCGAACCCGACTCGTTAACGAAATGAGCTTTAAGCGAGCTCGAGCTTAGCTCATTTAACAAGCCGAGTTGACCCGAGCTCACAAACGGCCCGTTTCGTTTAACACTCTACATGTGATGTTGTCTCGCTGATATACACACTTTTTTTTTTTTTTAATTGTTGGAGAGTTAAGTGAGATGAATTTGTGTGAGTAAGAAGTGCAAAGATTTATTTTATTTTTATTTTTTGTAGGTGTATTCGTATGAGATTTCGAGTAACATTTAGACTATATTTATCCACAACCCAATCCAACCCAACCCAACCCAATAATAAACAATTATTTATCTTTCCTCCACCTACACAACCCAACTTTTAACAACCTACATATCTTTATCTCCAACTCAACATAATATTTATTTTATTTTTATTTATTTATTTATTAAATATTATCTACAATAGATTTTTTGGTATTGTTTTAGTTGTGAAATTAAGAAAAATAAAAGAGATGATAAAATTAATAAGACATGATTTAAAAAAAAAAGGTGAAAAGAGAGAAATTTCAATTGTGTTCCAAAATATATCAGGAGTGATCTCTATTTATAGAGAATGAAAAAATACGAATTTTGATATTTTTTTATTAATTTTTTTTGTCTTTTAGCTGGTGACCCAATAGGTTAGGTCACCAATAAGGATAGTCTTAGGGGGTGATTGTTTATCAACCCAACTAAAAAAAACTAATCAAAATTTAAATTTAACTCAACTTCACTATCCCTAATATGATCAATATAATTAAATAATATCAACTAATCATTTTTACGCATCACATCAACTTTAATTCAATATTCATTCACCACTTAATCTTAACTAATCATCACTTTCAATCATATTTTTCTCATACTTTTACATAAAATCAACTTTATTATTTTATTTTAATATATCCACTAACAACTAATCATACCACATTTTTTTTAAAAAAATTAACTGTAATTAAAAAAAAACCAATTGAAAACTAGTTGAATTCATATCCAATCATCCCGGAAAAATTTCAAAATTGGTCCTATAATTTGGCTATTGTCCAAAAAAACCACCCGATATTGACCACTTTCAATTTAAGTCCTATAATTTGTCGATTTCATCAATTTTGGTCCTTTTTTATCCGCACTCTGGATTAAAAAGTGACGTGGCATGAAAAAAGGACCAAAATTGATGAAATCGTCAAATTATAGGACCAAAATTGACGTGCCACGTAGATCATAATCACGCCATGTAACATTGAAAAACTTACACGTCATGCCACGTCACTTTGTAATCCAGGGGCGGATAAAAAAAAGACTAAAACTGATGAAATCGACAAATTATAGGACCTAAATTGAAAGTGGTCAATATCGGGGTGGTTTTTTGGACAGTGGCCAAGTTATAGGACCAATTTTGAAATTTTGCCCAATCACCCAATCACCCCCTTAGAGATTTTTTGTGATTTAGGATTTATTTTAAGATTTTGGAAGAATCCTGCGAAATCTTAAGTCTGGAGGTGAGATTCGGAAAGAGATTTCGTATATATTTCTTTAGTAATCGCAGCAAATTTTAAATAGTTTTAACAAATCATAGTTACAAATAAGTTAAATACATCAGGATTTTGTAAAAATTTTTAAATTACCAATTTAAAATCCCAAATGAATACCTCTAGACTGACAGAAACTGGGGAAAAAACGGGTGTGGGCCCACTACCATGAAGTGTACCATGAACGGGGAAAAGCCCATATGAAGCTCAAGTAGGGTTCTATCCCGAAACCAATTGGTGGAAGGAGGAGTAGTCCGTTAGACTTATAAGGTGAGTCTATTTTCCATGTATAGACGATGTGGGACAACTCACAAGTGATATTGTAACACGTCCCCTCACTTGTGAGTCCTTCGAAAACTCATGTCCAACAAGGCTGGGTGACGGGTACATCATCGCACGGTCACCAATAGAATCGGCTCTGATACCATGACAGAAATTGAGAGATAAACGGGTGCGAGCCCACTACCATAAAGCGCACCTTGAACGGGGAAAAAACCATATAAAGCCCAAGTGGGGTTCCATCCCAAACCAATTGGTGGAATGAGGAGTAGTCCATTTAGACTTATAAGGTGGGTCTATTTTCCATGTATGGACGATATGAGACAACTCACAACTGATATTCTAACAAAGACTTTTAAAAGTTTTGAGAAGTCTAAATTAAATACACCAAAATTTATGTAATCTTAAAAAGTATTGAAAAGTATTTAGAAATTCTAATTAAATATACGGGGAATACTACCATCCCGTTACAGGATGATTCCGTTGTGTTTTTAACCGTTGAATTAACTACTCATCACTAGATTACATATATATCTATGGCTAGAAAACACAACAGAATTATCCCGTAATGGGATGGTAGCATTCTCCTTAAATATACCCGGTAGTGTAAGGATTTAAAAGAAAAACAAAACCGTTATTTTAGATGTTTTATTTTTTTGTTGATCATTGCGATTCATATGCTTAATAAGGTTCTGAGGATATTAATGTAAATTAGTGTGCCCTGTTGGCGTTTTGTAATGTGGCTCACAGAAAAAAGTCACTTTCGTACACGCTCGCACGATTGATCTAGCGCGGATACATAGTCGACTTCCCAGGTAATTCAATTTTCCTGATTATTACATCTTTATCTGCTTGAAATTCGTTTTTGATTTTAATAGATTGATAATCTATTGCATTTTTCTGTTTAGTAGCTTTCGTGGTAATACTTGAATGCTGTTAGCATGGACATCGAATTTGATAAGATGATACTATTGAGATCCTCTCTGATCTGGCTGATCAGAGTCTGGTGAAATCAATAGGCGAAAAAATGCGAGACTTTCGATTTTTTTTTTTTTTTTTTCGNTTTTTCCGGTTGTTGTTGGATCACATGATTCATATGGCTGAAGTATATAGGTCAAATGGTTGATTGTGATGATTTGATCTGTGTGGTTGGATCATAATTTTTTGAGAGTATATAGGTCAACTGGACTTTTTTAATGAACTCAATATTGATTCATTAATGGGGTTTCATTTGCCGACACTTGGTCGATGCTGGGATTTCAGATAATTTTTACCCTGTTTGGTCGCTTTAGAGATTTTGATCAATTGGAGACTCTTTTGATTTCAAACTTGCTTAATGATTCCAAAAGGAATCGGAAAGTGTTGGTTATGTGAAATGAGGTTTATGTGCTCGTGAAATGTGATTGTGAACTATTACGATGTTCGTATGAGATGATTGTAGTAAACTACCAACAGTACTAGAAATTTCTTGCCCACCGTTAGCGGTATTTTAAACACAGTTTAAGGTGTACCGTATTATTTTAGTTGTGCTGCGTTAATAACGTAAGGTTTCATAAAAGAGTTCTGCTTGACAAAATGCCAGACAGATTTAAATGCATATTCTTTGTTGACCTTCGATTACCAAACTCAAATTTGGAAACTCATTGTCCTTCTGTAACCATAGAGCTTTGAGGCGTTCTCATTGATGAAATGGCGACTTGTATCTGGTTTAGGTGTTNAAGAGATGTCTGGCACTGAGGAAGTCAAAGAACAAGCAGAAGCTGTAGTGGAGGATGTTGACAAATCTCTACCGACGAAACAGCAGGAGGTTCTGTTCTGATCAAACTCTTTTATGTATTTTTTTTTTGAAATATTATATATATATGTATATATATATTCTGTTGGATTTATTATGTATTCTTTTGCAGGAGGAAGCTGTTAGAAAGAAGTATGGAGGAATATTGCCCAAGAAACAACCTCTAATTTCCAAGGTATTAAAATCTTCTTCACACACTTATTGTGTTCCTCAGGAGTATTTCAAAAATGATACTGTTTGATTTCAGGATCACGAGCGAGCATATTTCGACTCTGCTGATTGGGCTTTGGGAAAGGTACTTTCTCTTCCTATTCTTTGTTTTTTGAACCCTCTTTGGCTTTCTTGAAAGATTATTACACTGGCATAACTGTGGTTTGACTGGTTTCTAGTTTTTACATTAATGTTCGATTATGTTTTATGACCACAGCAAGGTGGTGTGAAGCCCAAAGGACCACTTGAGGCTCTCCGGCCAAAATTACAGGTAATTTGCTATCTATTTTTGGGTGTAGTTAATGCAAGTTTCATTGCTACATTTATATATATATATATATATGTATGTCTTACTCTTTTCCATCCTAGTTAGTCAGTTTCTGCTGCTATTACGTTTTGTTTGAGATTTTATTTCCTTACTGACATTAGAAGGGGATCATATGATGGACCAAATGAAACCAGGGATGTCTGGCAAATATCAAAAAGCCTTCAAGATACTAGATGCAATTGTAATATGATGTAGAGGAAATGTTGGATAATCAATGTCCTTATGATGATCTCGCATTATAGAATTACCCCTATGGAATGTTTTTTCTTTCTTTATTTTTTTTTTCACTAAAAAAAATGCCCTATGAGTGACTAGTACATGGGTAATCCTACATTCCGGTTTTTCTTCCTGAAATGTTTCTGGAATAGCTAATAATCTCTTCCAGAAAGATAGTTATATTTGTCTTCAGCACATTTCTATAGAATCATTTTGGAATTTAAGTCTCACCGGAGGTTATGTTGAAATTTGTTGACAATCTAATCAGTCTATGGAATACATGACACATTTGTAGGTCATTTAATGTCTACAATTTGGATGACAAACCGTGAGGTGTCAATGTTTAATGTAGTCTCCATACCAAGTGATGGAATGTAACAGCTTTGTAATAGTTTATCTGATGTTACTTCATGTTTTTAAAGGAACTGCACTGGAATCCATGGATTTCCATCTTCTCTCTCTCTCCCTTAACAATTTCTTTCTTTTCCGGTTTGTTTCTGTAGCCAACACAACAGCAAACACGATACCGCAAATCCCAGTATGCGCCATCTGGTGAAGGTACGCGTGATTGTGAAATTTCTAATGAGATGCACATTGGAGTTCTCAATTTACTTTTTGTAGAATCTCGTCAGTTGTGTTCAAATTTCATTATTTTTATTAGGTTTAACTACCAAAAGATACCTGTAAGCTTTGAAAATCATGTGAAGAAATCCCTGCTATCATTATATGGTCACAAATACCCCATTGGTTTTTTATTTTTCTATTTCACAAATTACGCCCTCAAATAAGTAAATATTGGAAGTGAAAATTTGAGGTGAGTATTTCTAGTTTTGAAAGATAATTGTGTGGTGTTTTCTTTACCTTGATTATTAGTATTATTATTATTATTTGTTTTTGGTTCTTTACCTTTTATCTTTTTCCTTTTCAAGGAACACTACAAGATAAGGTCAAACCCCTGTATAGAATATGTAATAATTCTAACATTTATGCTGTAAAACTTCTTTGAACTCTAGTTTTCCTAAAGCAGTTCTTGTGTGATCATTCAAATACCTGTCATGCTCGCTCAGATATGGGTAACTAAATCAGGTTACTATCTATGCAGATGGAACTCCTGCATCAGCCGAAGATGCTACCTCAGACAAATGAGATGTTGAACTACGAGTAAATTTTTCATTATAAATAAAATTTGAAAAAATGAGGACAAATATTGTAATGTCTGCTCAAGGTAAGAATGCATCTTCATGTAGTTGCTGCTGTATTTCAAGTTCCCAAGATTGAAAGATCTTTGATCGATTCCTGTTGTAGACTATTTTACTACTGCCCAACATGAGTTTATAATCGAGATCTTGAGACATTTTCGACCCGTGTCATTAATACTCTTAACTGTTGCTGTGTTTCTACCCTTCTGGCACAAAAGAAGTCTGATTGTCTTTGAAAATTACTTAGTTCAACACTTCAACTAGTAACCTGTGTTTGTCTCTTATTGCAACACATTGGGATAATTCCAAAAAACAACCTTGATCTGGACAAACCACTTAGGTTTTCCATGATTTCTCACAGATGCAAATACCCTCTAAAAGAGCTATTAGCTCCTCTTTAAAGATGTACGGTTTTCTCCGTTGGGGTCCTCTGTTTGGACCTTATAAGATATGTTAAAAGTATTTGAATCTGGTGGTCCTCTGTTTGGACCTTATAAAATATGTTAAAAGTATTGAATATGGTGTCATGCTTTGTGTATTTCTTGTTAAAAGGTTTTGACTCAATTTTACTGTGGGGAGGTTTGTTGAATTTAGAGCCATCAAAACCACTTTCCTAAAGCTTATATAAGAGCATCTACAATGCATTGGGTCTAGTCTTGCCTATGTGGCATGTAAATAAATCCAAGTCTTGAATGACATGGATAAAACTATGTAAAATTAACAAAATTCACTCCAATGCAAAGAGACTAGGTCTCTACTTGGGTCTAAAATAGACTTAAGGGTAGACCGGGTTTCTTTTTCTGTTTGTCACATCAACAGGACCCAGTTTACTTTTATTTGCATTGGAGAATAAATTTTTTTAGATTGGGTCTATTTGTTAGGTGGCATATAATTTCTTGGGATTGAACTCAAAGCATTGTGGATGTTAAAAGAAGTCCCGGTGGACCAATTATCCTCCATGTGGTAGTATTTTTTTTTATTTTTTATTTTTTGTATGTCAAAAGATTATAATATATAAAACTCAAAAATAGAGTACAACGGAGATGTAACTGACAGCACCAGGATAAGTTTCAAGATTGGATCTATATCTCCTTGAATTACATAGACAACTAATGGGAACAATCTGCAGCATGAGACTCGGAGAATTTCGAACCATTCTGGAAATGGAACTGAAATCATTTCGAATCGAAAAATACTCGTTGACCGTTTGACTTTCTCCGAACCGAACCAAAAAGATGATTGGTACGGTTCTGGAGATTTAAAAAATATCCGTACCGAGAACTGAACTGAACCGTCTCATATAATACCGAGCCGAAGATCCAAAATTAAAAATTGAATTATAACATTAGATGTGTGTTATTATATATTTATGTCAACTTTGATCCTATATAATTTGAGAATTTTTAAAAGTGTAAATAAAATATAGTAATAACAATAAGCTTCACTTAAATTTCTTACTTAGCAATACTTGATCCACAATTGAATTTTTCGAATATAAAAAAACTATTTAAATTCGTATGAAAGATTAAAGAATATATTTTTAAGAAAAAGTATATTACATTTTGTTTGAGTTTTAAACTTTCAATATTAGTTGCACAAATTTAGTCTCAACTAAAACTTATAGTTACTACTAAAGTTGATTTCAAAATAAAATCTTTAATATGAGGAAGTATAGATGAATGTTGATTTTTTTTAAAGCATATCAAAATCAAATAACTAAAATTTAGAGTTACTTCTAAAATTGATTTCAAACTAGAATCTTCAATATGATGAAATATTGATGAATGTTTGTTTTTTTTAATGCATAAAAATTAAAATATAACTAGTAGTCATTAAAAAAATTAAAATAATTAAGAAATCTCCTAAGATCTGAACCGAACTATACTGAACCTAATCGTTCCAATAGTCCTGAATACCGAACCGAACCGAAAAGTAAAAATCTCCGAACCGAACCGTCTCGATTTTTCGGTAGGGTTCTGGAGATCGAATTTAGTGATCTCCGAATTTTACTACGGTTTCAAAAATTTCTCAATCTCTGAACCGTACTGACCCATGTTTACCCTTATTACTACTATCACTCCAATAAAAT